GGATTTATTTGTGCTGGTCAGACGAAGTCATACACAACTGAGATTATTCAGTAAACTGCTCCTTTTTATCATCACTTCGTCGCTTCTGCTCTTCTCTGGCTTTGCTCAGTCAACTTCTCAGCTGATTGAAGCTGATTGAGTACCAGTACTAATATTTTAAATAGCCGTTTGGAATAATAACTTTTGTTGGATTTGTGCTGGTCAGACGAAGTCATACACAACTGAGATTATTCAGTAAACTGCTCCTTTTTATCATCACTTCGTCGCTTCTGCTCTTCTCTGGCTTTGCTCAGTCAACTTCTCAGCTGATTGAAGCTGATATTTTGAGTACCAGACAAGACTTGCTGTTAACGGGTTTTAGGTATTAGATTAGTCTGCTGACTAGTTCTGTTACCAGACACAACAGATATTTTCTGATAGGATCTGGATCTTAATTATCTGGCATGGAGGCATCCTTCAGATCATCAGGATCTTTGATGAACGTTTGTTTCCAGAAGCTTTACTTTCACTGTTCATTTTATATTATATATTATTTTGCCAAAGTGGTGGCTAATTTCTATGAATTCGTATAAACTTATTCATAACTCTCCGACCTGAGTTATTATTATTATTATTACTATTACTAATAGTATTATGACAGATCATCTTCTGACCAGACATGAGTCACAGACAGACTCGAAGTGTCCGGATGTTTGTGCTTCAAGCTGCCCAAAACTACAACTGTATGAAACACTGCACACGTATTAGATTAGTCTGCTGACTAGTTCTGTTACCAGACACAACAGATATTTTCTGATAGGATCTGGATCTTAATTATCTGGCATGGAGGCATCCTTCAGATCATCAGGATCTTTGATGAACGTTTGTTTCCAGAAGCTTTACTTTCACTGTTCATTTTATATTATATATTATTTTGCCAAAGTGGTGGCTAATTTCTATGAATTCGTATAAACTTATTCATAACTCTCCGACCTGAGTTATTATTATTATTATTACTATTACTAATAGTATTATGACAGATCATCTCCTGACCAGACATGAGTCACAGACAGACTCGAAGTGTCCGGATGTTCGTGCTTCAAGCTGCCCAAAACAACATCTGTATGAAACACTGCACACGCCCTTCACTGATGCTTATTTCATTAAATTCACTTTCAAACTGTTTCTGAAACACACAGAGGACGAGTTTAATCTTTTATCAGCTTTTCCACTTAAACGAGGCATTAAATGCACACGCGGCTTTGTTCCGTGGCTGATGCTCGCCTTGAGTTTGATCTGACCGGGGCAAAACAAACATTTCCTCGCCGCGTATTTTAGTCTCCACAGAAAGCCAAGAACCTCTGCTTGCTGTTCACTTTGTTTCTACTGCGCCAAACTATTTTAGCACTCGAGTTTTGCCCTTAAACGTAGGAGAAGAAAACACAAGCGTGAGGCGCTCATTATGGCGCGCAGACACAGAGCGGGCGGGTTGAGTCTAAAAGGTTCTCATGTGTTAAATAAGAGCGCAGCGCCGTTCGAGTGCTGCTCATTGCTTAATCTAGAGAGCGTCTGATTTAGTGTAAATCTACACAGAGAGAGAGAGAGCGAGAGATGGCAGAAACCGCCCCAGCTGCTGCCGCCCCGCCGGCCAAAGCACCCAAGAAGAAGTCTGCAGCTAAAGCCAAGAAAGCAGGTCCAGCTGTCGGTGATCTGATCGTTAAAGCCGTGTCTGCGTCCAAGGAGAGGAGCGGCGTGTCTCTCGCAGCCCTGAAGAACAGGATTTCAAGACGGACCTGCGCTTCCAGAGCTCCGCTGTCATGGCCCTGCAGGAGGCCAGCGAGGCTTATTTGGTCGGTCTGTTTGAGGACACCAACCTGTGCGCCATCCACGCCAAGAGAGTCACCATCATGCCCAAAGACATCCAGCGGCCCCGCCGCATCCGCGGAGAGCGCGCTTAACCCCGCCGCTGCAGCAGCCGCAGTCCACCCCAAAGGCTCTTTTAAGAGCCACCACAAATCACACTGAACGAGAGAACTTCCACTGTAATGCTTAATATAACGAGTAGACCGTAACATCGCCTGTCTTTTGAAGGAATTCTGTCTGGGTAAAAATTATGAGATTGAACAATTTTCGTTTCTCTTAATACACAGACACGCATAGGCAAAACATAACCGATGTGTAACTTAATCCCTTAGAAATTAAATAATTTGTCTAAGTAAATAAAACTTTCATATGTATGTTAAATATATGGTGTAAATACCATGCTTATATACATGTGTATATAATACAGTCAAGTGCAAATACATACATATATAGTTAATAAACTAACTTTTAAACCACCGCATGTCTCTTGTAATGTTTAATGTATGTAAGTAGAGATAATTTCGTTATAATACGTGTTTATTTATGGGGAAATTGAGAACCACACAAGTACAATAAACACACACAAAGCACAATCCTTATACTGTGCAGGAAGAGGCAGAAAAACCAAAGGCCTTATTTAGAGCCTCCACCAAAACGATGTAGAAAACAAAAACAGAAACCACTCATGAAAAAGAGAGGTAAATTACAATAACAAATGCATATAAATAACTAAGTCCGCAATTTTGCAATTTAAAGTAGATTAGACTGTTCTTAGCTCAATCTTTAAATATATATATATATACTTCAGGCAGGATTCTTCTGATTATTGTTTGATTGAAAACCTTACACAAGTTCAGAAAAACACTGCAGCAGCATCTCAGCCGGCGGGGTTTGATCTGTGCTTAATACATGAAAACATGATGCAGATGATCTTATAATCTTCTTTGTCTAGTGAATCATGTAAAACATGGATTTTAACATGAAACACAGGAGAGACATCGTTAGATCAGGGTTGGGGTTAAACCTCATTGTCTCCTGCTCTAACTAGCGGGGGAGGGGTGCGCCATGTGACGCGCGCTGGTTTCACTTAGGTCCTGTAAGCAAATAGTTTAGTCTGTGAAAACACGCAATCAGAAGCTTCCATATCTCTTTGGTAATTAGCATAGATTAGTCAATAAATGGCTCTGTCTCGCTCGTGCTAGTCATCGACTCGTGAGGTTTTAGTCACGCAGCAGAATCATGCCTGAACCAGCAAAGTCCGCGCCTAAGAAAGGCTCCAAAAAGGCTGTCACGAAGACCGCCGCGAAGGGAGGAAAGAAGCGCAGAAAGACCAGGAAGGAGAGCTACGCCATCTACGTCTACAAAGTGCTGAAGCAGGTTCATCTTGGCACCGGGATCTCTTCGAAGGCGATGGGCATCATGAACTCTTTCGTCAACGACATCTTCGAGCGCATCGCCGGTGAAGCGTCTCGTCTCGCTCACTACAACAAGCGCTCCACCATCACTTCCCGAGAGATCCAGACCGCCGTGCGTCTGCTGCTGCCCGGGGGGATGGCCAAACACGCCGTGTCTGAGGGCACCAAAGCGCCGTCACCAAGTACACCAGCTCCAAATAGAGCTCCGCTCCAGCGCTCACACACAAAGGCTCTTTTAAGAGCCACCCACTTTCTCGGTTGAAGAGCATTTGATGTTTGTAGTTGTTGCGGCTTTGTTTATTTTAACGAAGTGCCGTAGAAAGTTTTGTGTCCACCGATTTAGCACATTCAGACTTCACCGTTTGTGTTACAAGTTCTCGATTTAGAAAGATAATGGTCTGCTCTTTTGTTCACGTACTTGTGGTTTCCTAAGCTTTTATTCAAATTGTTTTTAGAACGTAATTAAACACCAAGTTCCTGCTCCAACGCATATCTGTAGTTTACAAATAAGCCTGAAGGACTTGATTAGTTTATTGGTGGTGAGCTGAAGCTTTACAGCCAGATGTTGAAAAGTCGTTAATGCAGGAAAGATGCTAGAAATCTCTGCTTTCTCTTTAAAAAATCTTTACTCTTTATCAATGTTAATTTATTTTTCTGTTATCGCCTGAGAAGCTCAAGAACTACATTTCTGTAGTAATTGTGTAGTTTAGTTTTGCTTCTGATAGTGAAGCAGTGTTAAAGCAGGTGTAGCAGGTGCCTCGTGTACCGGAAACAATTACTTATTTCTGCAAATAAGGTAATAAGTAACTACTGAATAGTTTCTTTTTATTATGCTTTTATTTTTTGCACCAAATTATGGAGGGTTGTATCAAGAGTACTGATAATTTATCATTTTAAAAGGCACGAACTGATATCCTGAAGTTTCATTGGTTTGCTGTGATGAAGTGCTCTGTTTCTATGAGCAGCCAAACCTGTGACTAAATCAAAGTCCATCTCTAAACCAAATAAAAACACAAGAAAGAGTTGTATTACGGACAAAACGTGCTTTGATTTCTTTGAACATGTATTCTGCTCATTCTACTTTAACTTCATTTATAGCTGCCAGAAAATAAGTTTCTTAAGTCCGTTCTTTGAACATCTATTCTGCTCATTCTACTTTAACCCCATTTATAGTTGGCAGAAAAAAAGTTGCATAAGTCCATTTATTCAATTTTTAAAGACTTACATTTTTGTATTTTATTTGAAGAGCTTAAATGATTTCTTTTTAACTGCCTGGTATTGTTTATTTGGGAGTCACGCTTGTGTTGTTCGCGATCAAAAGTCACCGGACACCTGAAAGGTAACTGTTTTTCAGTGAAATCAATGTAATATATTTTTGTTTGATTTTATATATTAGGGCTGGACGATATGGCCAAAATTGATATCACAATCGCGATCAAAAGTCACCGGACACCTGAAAGATAACTTTTTTTTTTATTTTCCTTTTTCAGTGAAATGAATGTAATATATTTGTTTCATTTTATATATTTTATATATATATGTATTTTGAGAGAATTTCATGCACTATTTAATATTCCTGCAATAATTATGATAATTATTATTTTTATTTAATTATGATACATTTTTTCCATTGAAAATGATACAAATTTGTTTCTAATATTTTTCTGTTACTTCAATTATGGCAGTATTTCATGTTAAATAGATACAATGTCTTTAAAATCCAATTTATGAAGGCAGATTAGTTCCGTCTGGTTGGAGTAAAAAGAAAAACATCTGCAGTTCGATGGTTTAGCCACTAGATTCCTATAGAGCTCTGTATAAAAGGCTTATAAATTATCTAGTTGTTTTTAGACAAATACTTTTTTTTTTAAAGTTGTGGATTTGGATTTATATAAAGACATTCTCAAAGACAACTTGTAAAGGTTTAGATTTTTTTGTTTGAAATGTTGGTCTGAAATGTCAGTTTTTGCATGAATCTTCAAACAGTCAAACCTGAAGACATTGTATTACACAACATCAAAGTTCAACAAAAATGTAACAAATATGAACAGGAATGCTTTATCAGAGGTTAATCAATCTGATTTAAATCTGGTTCGCGTGTTTGTAAGTGTGTGTGTGTAAGTGAGCTTGTGTGTGTGTGTGTGTGTGTGTGTGTGTAAGTGAGCTTGTGTGTGTGTGTGTGTGTGTGTGTGTGTGTTGTACTCTTAAAGTTTGTGTCACCCTTCCCTGGTCTGTGTTTTTACTCCATTGTGGCTAAATTATAAATTGTATTTCATGTATTTGCAAAAGCACGCTGTGTGTTACAGTCACAGCTCATATATGTGTCTGCGATTTTTAATATTTCAAAACATTTTATTATTTATAATTTTATTTTTCAGGTCTAAAATGGTCAAACAGCACCAGAGGGTTCCTGAAACATGCGTCTTCTCTGTCAGGGCTGTCAAACCCAGTTTCTGAAGCAAACTCCGCCTGCAGAGTAAGATTCAACCCTAATCAAACACATTAAGGTCATTAGTAATCTTAATCAGCTGGTTCAGCACTTCTGCTGTTGCCTTTCTATTTAAACCTTCATTGTAGAAACTGTATTGATGTCAGGTGAATCATATTGTGTTTAACATGTTAACTGAATTAACTTTTTATTTTAATATTTAAACACATTAAATGCTTTGCATTGTGCAAAATGATCACACATTATACTGATGCTTTGAAATCCTCTCCTCGTTTACGACTCAAAGCACAATCCTCATACAAGTGGCTTGTTTCTGCAGCACGGTGATGTCCGGCCTAAACGTGACAGCTTCACCCTTAATTAAAAAAAAAAAATGTGTTAAAGGTTTTTGTAAGAATAGTGCATAGCTGCTTAGAGTCAAATGTTTAATTTGTGATAATAACACAATGAAACGTGCGGTCATACAAAGATATTGTGAACACATGCAAAAACAAGAGAGGACCAACGAAATATTACTAACTTACATATAATGTTATAGTCGATGTCAGTGTTGCCAATGTAGTGATTTTGTCAGATTTAGTGACTTCCTCGCCCCTTTTGAGACCTTTTTCAAAAGCCTAGCAATTTCTTGGACAAACTTTATCTAGATTCCTAGACTCTTCCATTGATCTATATATATATATATATGACATAATCTAGACACATTTAGTGGCCTGTTTTAGCTACTTTCAATTGAAAGCTGCACTGGTCAGTGTTTTCTTCCTCATATTTTGATGGTTTAAGCAAAATGTAAGGTCATTAAATAATAAACCTCCTCAGTTTTGGCCACGGTTGTGTTTGGTGGCACACTAGTGCTTTTGAAGCCCCTGCTTACTGCGTCATCACCGCTGCGTTTTTCCAGTTTTCCAGCCAAACAAATGCAATTACTATCATTTCTGCAGTTACAGCATTGGTTTGCATTTCTTATCTAGTCACGATCATCTCCGGTGCTTCATGTCTTGGTTGGCAAGTGTGCGTCTCCTCCGCTCTGCTGTCCTCTTGTTACTCTCTCAAACTTCATTTAGGAGCTGAGGACTGTAGTCTTAACTCTTGGGAACCTGTCTGAATCACACTTATTCTTTAGTGAATAACAATAAAGTCTGGTCAATCTTCTGACACACTTGAGACTCCGGGTGTTATAAACACGGCCCTGCATGGACTTGACATCATGCTTTCTCTTTCAGCTGTTAAA